GCGCTCCATTTCCTCATTAACCCAGCAATAACCCAGCAGTAATCTCTGTCTTCGACTGGCCTTAAGATCCAGACAAGATTTGGTTATTGTACCACGCGTATTTCAGCTTTTATACACAAAAAATTAAGCAATATTGATAACCAGTATCAGAGAGACAACGGATTCGGTGGTGACGTTTTACAAATTGGTAGTTCTTATTCGATGCCACTGTATAATATTGACAGAGATCTCTGAGTGTTGAGGTGGCTGATAACGGTTTTCAATGCTACATCTCTTTATCGATCAGTAGCTGCTACAAAAATGGCAATCACTGCTGAAAAAGTTCTGCTCCACTTGACATAAAAGGTTACCATAACAACAATAGAACCTTGATTGAACAATATAACCTTAATAAAATATTGCTAACTTGGTCATATCGCACACACAAAACTTAAAATTTACACTACATTAACAACTGAGGTGGCCTACAGTGTAAGCCTGGTGTTTTTTTTCGAGGTCTCCTCGCTGTCTTTTTGTTTGTTATTGTACCTGTTTTTTTCTTTAAGTTACGGTGTGGCAAACAATCATGACGATTTTATCTTTCAGAGCTTATAACTCAGAAACGAACTATGAGACCATCAACTTTTTTTATTATTGATTTGTGATCAGCATATTAATATTCAACTTTCGAAGGTTTAAGGTGGCTCTTAACCAACTTCGCATCTTGACATGTTGACCGCAGTTCAGTAATATAAAATTGCAGTCACCTGGTTTTTTTTCATTTAAATACTTTCTTTTTTTATACTCAAGGGTAAGATTGAGGCCGTAATATCGCGGCTATGGCAACCCTTTTATGTCAGGATCGAGATGAAAATAGCTGTGGCTCAGAATATTTTCTGGAAAACCCACAAAATGCCCCCCCTTTCCCCCTCCAAAAAAAAGAGAAAAAAAAATCGTCTTTGTCCACCTTTGCCCTGATCATTTTCAATTATTCTGAAAGGATAAAAAACAAAGTTTCTAACAGGAACCCATGACCGTGTCAAGTCATGTCGTGTCATGTCATGTCATTACAGTTTTGCTAAAAAATATACCACTATTATCAGTATATTTCTAACCCCTTATCATTGTCGCGGTAACCTCTGTTATTAAGAAACCAGTGAACGCTTTGTGAAAAGAAGACCAACATAGTTGCCATGGGTACCTTTGTTGCTAAGAAACCAGTTAAAATTAAGGCGAAAGCCTACCCCTATCGCTGCAATGGTAATCTCGTACTGTAAGAGACAGTGAAAAAAATACATAATTTTTTTTATCATAGCGTAGGTAAAGGTAAAGTCTGCATACCAGCCAAGTGGCTCATCAGGCCGGAACTTATCCCGGTTTCTGTAGCATGAAGCGACTAGGAGTATTTCTA